CGGCATGTATCAAGTATTTAATGTCTGCTTTTGATGTGCCAGAGGTGAAAAAATTCGCTGTATTATTTTATTTTTGACTTTTCTTGAAACGGACCCTGTCACATAGAGATTATTTTCTCAGGTCATGGCAGTCTCTCGGAGCAATATTTGCAAGAACGGATTAGAATCTCTTTCCAGGGGGGGTGCTGTAATATATTACGCTTCTGTCTTCCTTTATTTTTGGGTATTTTCGACCCCTGTTGTTTCCTTGGTGTTTGGGAGCTACTTATACATTTGCATCAACTGGCTTCACTTACACTTTGATGAAGCCTTTTCGTCTCTTCGAATAGCTAATTATAAATCATTCACTCGATTTCACATCAATTATGATGGTGATCTTGAAGTTTATACTCTGGCTGTTGATAAGGTAGGAAGTCATCACTTATTCAACTATTATTCGGTAACGCTTTTCTTTCTCTTGTAAGACTGTTACTTTTGGCTCAATCATTTACACCCCTTCTCTTCTGCCGGAGAACCTTTCAATAATAATAATAATAATAATATTAATAATAAATTTAAGAAAATTGAGTATGCATTTGTTAAATAATTTCCTTTGTGTAGTGAAAAGTTGTGCATATTTCTAGTCAAAAGAGACATGCATAGCAACTGTTCTTTCTTCGAAATTAATGATGAAAGCTTCAGGTGCCTAACTATCTTTGGGAGTTTTGAGAAGAAAGAAATTGAATTTCATAACTATCATGTTTGGCTGCGGTGCTGGATTTGATTTTTTTTTTTTGTTTCTTATTCAGTGTTAACATTTTCAATGTGTAGGTTCCAAAGGAATGGAAACTTGATCCGGAATGGGACGGAGAGGCGAAACATCCACAAGAGTTGAGTCATTTTAGAAGGTTTCCGAGCAAATGGAGGGCAGTCACCGCTCACCAGGATCCAGTACATTCAGTCAGAATTGTTGACCATTTCGTTATTCATCGGACTGAAAACATTGACTGTGATACTACTACATCTAACGGGCCAGTTCAATAATATGATTTGTTGATTTGGTTATCCCATTTGTAACATTATTTAGGAAGCAATTTGAAGTAATGAAAGAAAGAAAAGAATGGTAGTGTCTGCATATTTGTTTCATTCATCTATTACTTCAATGGCTCTATTGGTCTTATGCAGTCGCTGACGAGGGTGCCGCTGAGCGTCCCACGTGGTAATCTTTAATTCTATTTAAGTTGGTAAACTAGACGTATTCAAATGTCTAATCGTGGAAAAGAGTATGACTCAAATTAGGTAAAGCTGAATTAATGTTAAAAGTAAGTGAAATTTTGTAGATTCGAGTTTCTGACATACTGAAGTCAAGTGATTTTAAATTATATGTTTTGGAAGTATTTTAAAAACAATATATTAATCTGAAATTGATTTTTAATCATTTCCATATTATAATAAAATTTTTAAAGGTGTTTTTTTTAAAGTAAAATTTAAAGCTTTACGAGTTACGAGAATATTTAAATTGTATTCTAGAAAGGTATTTAATACATCCTAATAATATTTCTTTTGAAAAGTATAAGAACTTTAAAAGACATTTTTGTGCTTACATAGTAATTGGAAATATGAATTGGCGATTGGAATTGTTCATAGGCACAACTTAACAGACTTCAGCAGTAGCTGTGGTGTTAGTCACGAGCTCGCTTCCCTTAAATATTTTAAATATAAAATAACCGTCGCATTAAGACTATAAAGACTATTTATTGATATCAACTAATTGTGTTAAAATAATAAAAAACCGTTGAATGGAAGTTGGAAAGAACCTCCGGAGTAATGATGGTTATCTTATGCTTGCATTTTCTTGCATAAAATATACTTCGGACACACGAAGCTAATTTGAAACTTGCACATTTTGATCAACTTCACCAAACCCTTTCTCTGCCTGTGGTTAAAGTTTCCAAGTAGTGGCTCTGGAGAACGTAAAGTAATCCAATTGCCAGTCAAAGAATTTTGTATTTTAGTGTCAAAGTTAGCTATCATGTGGAACTCTATTTGATTAGTCTGGGACGAGAAAATTCTGATACGGTGTGCCTCTCAGCGTTTTTTGCACTTCTTCCCAGTTTCCGATTTGCTTCCATAATGGGCCAGTGTGAATCTTCACCTGCCTGCTGTGCATATCTCCCGACGGCAATCCCAGAAATTCTTCAACGTCTTTCACCTTCTGGAGATGGAAAATAAAATTCAACATCGAATCACCAACTCAAAATCCAAACTTTTTAATTAATATATTACGAGTATTACACGATGAGATTATAATATAAAATTCTATGATGGTGCAGTCACAACACATGGTTCACACTTACCGTGGCATTTTTAACAAGATCCTCATAGTATAGAACAATGTGACGAGTGTTCTTAAAGTATTGAAGAGCTTTTGCAGCTGTCTCCTCTGTTCGCTTTATCTCTGTCATCAGCAACGTGGAATTTATCCATGGCCTGTATTTGGCCAGAATTCCAGCCTGCCAACAAAAACTATTTCAACCATTTCTTCACATTTGCAATCAATGCACATGTCTAGTTTTCTTTTTTTTAACGTAAAAGATACTTCTCAACCAAAACCTCTGCTTGCTGTATTGCATTTGGGTGTAAAAGTCATAATAACTTTGTAAAGTAAATTAAGTAATGCGATCAATGATCAATTACATATCACCAATCACTTTTCTCAACATACAATACCAGCAAAAAAGAAATGGCAACAGAGAGATTTTGAAATACCTCTTCTTTGGAGTGTACATGAGACTTATGGGTTCCATTCAGTGGCTTTGCAATTTTGTCATAGGAATTGGCAAGAACAGATACCATTCTACGGAGCAAATTCCTTCTGAAAAGGAATATTGTAGAAACTCCTCTCCTTTCAAAGTACTCCACTATCTCCTTATGATGATACATTAAACCCTGCAAAAATATTTGCATCTCTTCTTTTAGCAACAACATCATCATCATCACCAACCCAAATCCATGATGGCTCATGACATTGAAACACTCTTCAGTACCTGATTAAGCATCCACTTGAACCCCACAGCCGCTGAACACTCATTCTTGGAAGCACCACTGAACCAATCAAGATTGAACACTTCATCCATTGTCTTCAAAATTGAAGTTACATTTTCCCTTCTTTTGGCCACCACAAATATCTCCCCATTGGAACTCACATTCATATGACTGTTCAACAAAGTCTCAAACCATCCACTCCCCGATCTTTGCATTGTCACTATGCAAAAAAATCTGACAGGATTGCATGCACACTCTTCCCTGTTCATCCACCAATCATTCATTCAATACAGCTAAATGATCAAATCAAACCCACGTAACATATATCTGAGGCAAATTGAAAACTTTTTCTTCCTCAAAGTATATTTATATGTATCCTAAATCTTCATGTATGCATGAATTTATATAACTAAATTAAAAACATGCCTGTTGTAAGTTTTGGGTTGTGGGTACTGCAAGTAGGGTGCTTTCCATTCTTCTACACTAGAAGTATGACATGTTTGGTTGATGACTCTCTGTTCTACCAACTTGGTATTTACACGAACTATTGTTGGTTTCTCTAAATTAACTGAGCAAATGTATAGTCCACATGTTGCAGCCATGACGAAAACTACCAACCTCAATGTTGCGGGAAAATTCTTAGTAGCTTTAATGTCCATGGAGTCCTGAAATGAAGTAGTCACCACATGTCACACTGATATTGTAAGATAATGGAATGTGATTGAGTTTCAAGAGAAAGCAGAAAAGAAAAAAAAAATGATAATAGCAATGATTGATGGTACCTAGTTTTCTCACCTTCTTGAGGACAAATATTTGTTGAATCATGTTTCACGGGAATGAAGGACAACGACAAAGACCATCTTCCTCCCTTCACTGTTTATATGTCCATAACCCCTTGCTTCATCTTCTCTATGTTTTCAGAGTCTCGAAGTTTCCACGTGAAATTCAGCGTTTTTCAAGCAATTTGGTCTTGATGTGGTTCCCTTCTTTGTATCTTTTTTTCAGTCTGCAGCTTAAATTACACGACGGGTAGATTGTATAGTACTATCTGATATGCTTATTTTGTATGTGTCAGTGTATCTTATCTTAAGATTTAAATAGATTTTTAGTGTGTGTGGAAAAAACATGACATTGACCGTGACTTGGGTAACACGATGCGTATCAGGATGGTCCATAGTTCTTTCTTTGAAACATGACATTGACTTAGTAACACGATGCGTATCAGGAATCAACCTCTGTTTTCGATGTAGAGGAAATTAATATTTTATCTCTGTTTTCCATGTATATTTTACAGAGAGCCAAATAAAAATAATTTTGAAATAATTATTACAGATAATTTCTTTTAAATTAACAGTGTAAAGGAATCATCACATTAATGAAACATTATAATTGAAGACAGTGGATGAAAATTTGATCCAAGTATTTATTTAATATCACACCATGTATTGACCGCGACTTGGGTCAAATGCTTAAGCTTATTTTCTTCTTCTTTAACTTTAAATAACCAATGAAAATATGATCCAAGTATTTAATATTTTAAGGAATTTGGAGTTGATTTTATATTGTAAACGTTTGACTTTAAAATGAGTTGTTGTCATTCAACACAAAATAATTGACCACTTCAGTGAATTTCTGATAACATTTAGACAGAAAAATTAAAACGTTTCTTTTAGATACTAAAAATATCAATAATTTCAACTCATTAAAAACATTTTCAAGTAAATTTCCTTGTAATGGAACACGAACAAAGTCAAAGAAACAACACATGTTGCAACACGTAAACGCGCAACTCTTCCAAAATTTTCAAAATTTTCGACCATGGAAGGTTCATGGTTAACTTGTTTGATGTTGACGATAAATTAGAGTGAAGACTTTTAGCGATAAAACAAGTAAAAGTATAAAAGCACCTAGTCAATTTTACACAACAAAAACTACAGAGGAAAATTTCATGGATTCTAAGCTCTCACCAAACGGGATCATAATGAATGTCTAAACTGAAACTTTCATAACTCAATAGTATTTAAATTACAATGGTTTTCAAGCATTGTTAAAAAAAATAAAAGCATTAATTAACAGGTAAAGAAAATAGTGGGGGTGGGAAATTATGGATACAATATGAGGGAAGGCATTAGTATTAGTATTCAGTAAGACCAAGATTCATGAACCTAAGGTGGTTCCTACAATGCTACATCTCTAATTGAAAAAAATGAGTCTCTCTGCCTTTTGCTGTGCCCTTCAAAAATCCTTGTAAAAAAGACTGCAAATCCATCGCAGGTGTATGGCACCTTGGCCAGGCGGCTACAAAACATAGAAACTAGCGTGATAAGACATGATAATAGCAATAGTCAGAGAAAACCATCAAATAATCCCTAGACTTATAATCACCAGTCATTTTAGAAAAATTTATGAGAAAAAAGTAGTCCTCCAAAATTAATAATTATCAATCACTTTAGCCCTAATATTAAGGATCTATAACATTGATAGCTATTTGTTTTGGTTACATAGTGTGCAAAAAACCATACCGTTTAGAAAAACACAAACTGAATCACTTTTTGAGAACAGTTTGTTTCACACTAAACCAATTTAAGGTTTAGGGACTGAATATTCTAGTTGTCAAATTTAGGGACTACATTCATAATAATTGTTGTATGTTAAGGAACTAAATTGGTTTATTTTGTAATATGAGGACCAAAATGAGAAATGGTGTTAATTTGAAAGACAAAATTGAATAATAATTGTAAAGGTGAGGCTCTAAAGTTGCTGGTTTATATCAGGGACTAAATTGATCCTTACTTATAAGTTATAATCAAGGACTAATTTAGTGCATTATTAGAAATATTTGCTGCACAGGAAAAACAAATGACGATTTCCAAGCTAAAATTCAATTAAAGCTCTCCGACAACCCAATATCTGACAAAGCTACATACGGTCACATTTATTGGACGTAATCAGTAGTCCAGTTATATAATAACACAAATTATGCATGCAAATGCAATTTAAGAAGTGAGATACTTTCTTTTTCCTGACACAGATGTGAGATACTTGAGAGCATTAAAAGTGTAGCAAACACATATGTCTACCTAAAAATGGAATACGCTGTCTAAGAGTGTATCAAACATAAGTTAGGGTGACCCCTCCTCCATCAATTAAAAGCCACGAATCTGAGAAGTTAAAAGAAAGAAAAGGAAATATTAGAAAACTTACCATCAAAGAAGGCAGAGAAGTTCAGAAAAGAAAAGGAGAACAAAATGTCCATTTATGAGACAAGAAGAAGGACAATCTGTCCCATAAACCGGAATGACTTTGGAGTTTCTTTTAAACATCTATTCTTTTCATCTCGAGACCAATGCTGCATGAACCACAATCTCACATCAATAAAAAGAATGGCGTAGCACCTAAATATAACACTAAAGCAACAATAGCAGGATTCTTTGTAATCTACCTCGGAAAGCTGGTTGAGCTTATCACGGACATCTTTCAACAATTCAGGTACATCTCCTTCCCATTTGTAAAACTCCAATTCCTTACCTTCCAAGAGCTTCTCAGAAACCTAAAAGCAACAATAATAGAATGACAAGCAACCCCTGGTGATTTTTACAACAAGCAATTAAGTGAATTCTTTGGACAGGGAATTCCTCAGTTCTGATTCAATGTCGACTACAGAACTTCAACACCATAAAGTAAAAATACATATTCGTTTTCACAAGGATGCATGAGTTTGTAGAGGGCCTACAAGCATATTTTTATGGAACAAATTGAACACCAAGCTATCATTTAGTATTTATTCTAATATTTTACAGTTAGGTTTTGCCTATAAAAGGCCTGACCCTTGTATTAGACCTCTCTATCAATTTGAGTACTAAAATGTGGGAGATGAACAGTGAGCACGTTAGAATGCTGGGTACCAAAACCACATTGCATACATTTGAGTAGGTGAGAGAGATCAGAAGGTACCAGTACTACTTTCATGTATTGTCTTCATTAGTAAATCAAAATGCCATTTCAAATTTCTCTTCAACCCCACTATCATGAATTCAACACCTAAAATTTGATTTATTGTTTGATAACAATCTATTTTGCAGTAGATCTCTCTTATGGTGAGCATGTAATGTGATCAAATTTCAAATCATCCTTTCACTTTTAGTAAACAAAAATATAATTAGATGATTAAATTATCCACTAATTACATCCATCACTGACAAGGTCTCCTGACCTATCTCTTTCATTTGTCCCTAATATTTCTGATTGAAAAATGATAGCTGAGAAAAAAACATTTTTCTTTCAAACGGCAATGTATCTTGCTGAGGCATGTAATTTTTCAACTAGATAGACAGAGAAAGGAACTACACTAGAAGGGAACATATGATAGTATTCCTTCATAAACAACTTGTAAGACAGGAAGTGAGTACACACCTTCTTTCCAATCACCTGACCAGCAGCTATATGACAAAAATAAATATTGTAGAAATGGGATAGAAACAAAGGTGCGCTTGTCTCTGCAAGTGACTCTAAATATTTGGCATATGTAATCCCCGGAGAACTGGGATTTGGAATCACGTTTCCTTGCTCCTCCAACCATTTCAGATCCTTCAAAAGCCCTTCTGATCTTTCCAACCCAGTTTTCCTCATGTATGCATCTGCAAATTCATGAAATTCTCGCCATAACAAATTCGAATCATTTTTTTTTTCTCCACGGAAAACTAGAAAAACAAAGCAAATCACATATTCTTCTATTTTTCACCTTTCATCTGTCTACTTGAAAATAAATATTTAAATTAAGAACAAATGTTTTCGATATTAATTTTAAGTCCCCCCTGGATAACTACCTCAGACTCTCAACGTCAACCTTTGTTACAAATATTATTATCATCGAGATGAAACCTCAATTTTGATTAAAGAACAATATAATGGATTTTTATATTTGCAAAAAAAAACAGTAACTATTTGAAGACAATAATCTGAAAAGGAAGCTGCAATGCAATGCAATGAATGGAATGGAATTGGAATTGGACTCACACGAAACGTTATCGGATTCGTCGACGATGCGCTGGAGAGTGGCAAAGATGAGGTGAGTGTCAACAAGGTAAGCGACGAAGCCTTCCATGGAGGCGTGCCACGCGTCGGAATCCGATTGGTCGGGTGAAACGGCGGCATTGTGGAGTCTCATGGCGACGAACCTCATCTCTTCGGTGATGCCGGTGGTCTCTCCGGGATACAGCTTCCGATACCTCTTCCTCTTCTTGAGCGGAGACTTTGGTTTGGGTTTAGGAGTTGGAATTTCAGTGTGAGAGTGAGTGAGAGTGATGTTGGTGTCGGTGGAGCTTCTTGCTGTTATGGAAAACCTGCAAATGCAATTCTCCTTATTTGAGACTGAGATTGGGAGTGAGAATCGTAGCTGTGGCATGGCTTTCACTGTTAACCCCATCATCTTCTTCCTTCAAACTCTACTATCCGTATTCTCTATTTATTTTTATCATTATATTGATTTTAGTTTTAATTATATTATACATGTTAATTTTCTAATGACTTTTAAATAATAATTATTCTTTTAATCCTATCACAAATTAAAATATTTAAATTTCTTCTGTCGTCACTGCATATGTTGGTAGACTTTATTGAGTAAAATTGATAATTTCAAATTTTCAATTTCGATTTGAAAATGAATATAAATAAACGGGTTCATTTCTGAAGTTGATGATAGAACAGTTTGAACTTCAATTTTATATATTAATTTCTAGCTATATTATACGTAAAGAAAATTTAACATAAATATAAAAAGATTAATGCAGAATATAAAAAATTGGCTAAATGTCAAATTTTGATGCTCGTGAAGTTACCGTGGAATAAAAGTATTGATGTGTTTAATTCAAAGTTAATTATATTTACCCGTTGATCATTTAATCAACTTTGTTTTTATGAAATTGATCAATTATAAATATTAAAGTAAGGTACTCAATATGATAAAAAAAAGTTATGGATTACATCTATTTTAATATTATAATTCATTTTGCTTTTTAGTTTTTTCAAAAAAAATAGTAAATATTACTTCATAAAATTATGTCTCTTGAGTTGCTAATAACCATCATATAAGATGAACAAATGTAAAGTCTTGATTATCATATTGCTTTTTTACTATGTTATTCATGCAAGCAAAATATATTGATTTATTATATTTTGACAATTAACATCAAATCAAAAGCATAATATAAAATTATTTCATTTTTACATTAAAAAAGCCACAATCAAGTAAGGAATCGAGAATAAAAAATTTCCCAAATTCATCGTATATGTTTGTATGACCTTTTCTTATATAATTAATTTTTAATTGTATCTTATAAATATCTTCTTGTTCAATTGCACTGTCACTTTTAATTAATTTTAAATTCATATTAGGGAGTTTGAATTATGTCTTTTATGTTGTAAATTCTACTACAAGTCTAGTGTTTAAAATATTCTCAATTAAATTTACAATAAAACAAAAAGAATATACAGTTAAATCAATGGCACATTATAACTTTCATTTTGGTTTCTTTAATTTAACCCACGTTGAACCTTTAAAGATGCAGTGAAACAAACTGCTTGAAGGAGGTATTTGTAAAATATGAATCATGAATGTGTAAGCCATTTTTAAGCAACGATCATGAAAATTGTATTGTTGCTTGCATGAATATCATGAAACAAATCAGTTTATTGACATAATAAATCTGTGGTGAACAGTATAAGTAAATGAGAGAAGATACAACAAAGTGATTACATTTGTGTTTCCTATTTATGTACAAAAGGGAACATTGATTACAATCCCTACGGGTCAGTGGACAAAATGAATGGTTGATGAATGGGAAACTGTACAAGGTAAGGCAAGCCATATCTAATACAAGGCTTGCACATGTTAGTCCACCTTTAAGTTTCATTAACTATGCTAAACTTGGATTTCTTGTACATGTCGTTTTTGCTGTTGAGTCAAGCTGAAGGCATGGTCTTCCCATGCATTTGACATATAAATACCAATATAGAACACCTAGCTAAGCTCTTCTCCGGAAGCATAAGCTGAGTCAAGGCATGCTTTTAATCTCTGCAAGAACTTTAACGTCTCCGTATACGAAGGGTCTGAGCGGCTCACTGGCTTACAAGAATTTATATGATCTGTTGACTCCAATACCTGTTGCAAAATTAGAAGCTAAATCAGGAAAACAAACGCTAAAACTGCTATAATACTACAAAAAAGTACAGTCGATTTGAATATTGCAATGGATGCTGGGATGGGTGGGGTGACAAAGGTCAGAGCTTGGATATGCTGACGAAAATATTTTACTCTTCATTTCATTTTCTTTTTCTTATAAAATGAGATAGAATTTCTCAATATACTTACGACTAATTCCCCGAATCCGGGATATGCTGACTCAATTGGTACAATTTCTGTTCGAAAGGCCCATCCACCGTAAGCTTCAACTATTGGAGTTACCTTGGTCTGCAAAAAGTAATTCACAAGTCAAACTCATGAAAAGACATCGGAATAGATACTAGCAAATAGCTTAATTGCTGATTACCTCACAAAAGCTGAGAACATCAAGCAACCTCTTCTTATGAAGTTGACGAATATAGTCATTAAGCTCTATCAGTTTTTGAGATCCACTTCTTAGCTCTCCTATCTGTTAAACATTAAAAACCAAGAGCAAAAACACTCTTTCAAATTGTAGCAATTATTATTGAAACAGGAAATACGTTAACCAACATCTACTGCTGAAAAAGGGGTAGGTAAGTTCAAATACTAACTGTGGGAGCTGGACGAAGCACGAAGCCCATTCGCCAAGGCATATCTGCAAGTTTGCTACCAAAATGTGGGCAGCTATAAAAAACCTGCAACCAAAAATAACATTAAAAAACCTGCATACTTTAAGCATATATTTAATTAAAGAATCAATACTTACAATTCCCATTGTATTCTTCACAAGATTATCAAATCTTTCCTCCTTTGCTTTATGAAGAATTTGCTTCACAACCAGACCTCCCATACTGCAAACAATAGAAAAGCACATAGACAAAACAAAGTGAGGTAAAGTTAGAATAAACAAATAACTTAGTGACTAAAAGACATTTGAAAAAAATACAATTTACACGACATATATAAATTACTAGACAATTAATTTTGTCATCGTCCAAAAGGACTTCTAGGCTAACTCTATACTAGAAAGGTAAAAGCAGTTACAGCTGGGACACAAACCACAAAAGTACTTGTCACCACTTGTTCTTAATACATACAAAGTGACGTCTACATCCATCACACCTCAACAATTCTTGCCAAAAATAGAACAAAATAGATTACACACAGACACGTATAGGTACTAATTTGTTCTGCATCCTATTTTGCTACTTCTATTTCAAAGCAAATTGTATAAACATGACATGTTTATATTTATCAAAAAAAATGTTGCAAACTAAAACTCTGTATGATGGTGAATCAATCATGATATTAAATTTTTAAATTTAAAACCCTTTTTGTATATAATCACTAACGAAAGTAACATCAAGATTTTTCCCTGGTGTCATTGAAAGAGTGATTGAAGAACAAATTATGATTAAAGCATGCCTTAAATATGTGTTAGGTCCTATAACGTACCTAATTTTTCCTATTTCAGTACTTAAAATTTTTTTAAAATAGTCCTTCCATGTGATATTCAATTTTTTAGCATTAGTCCTTGTCATTAAATAGGTTACTGTTAATGGCTGGTGTGGCTAAAGATTCAGGGACTAAGGAGTTGAAATAATAATAAAAGATAAAAAAAGCATACTTACAGGGATTAAACTAAAAATTGTACAAAGAGAGTGTCATTACAAGATATCTGAATTAAATGTGGACTTTAAATCTAATTCAATCCCACAAAACCAGCATGTAAAGTGAGGTTACTTATATATTCTAAATTGACCTTATCTCTAGCTTATGTAGAACTTCCAACACCAAGTATAGGCTGAAGAAACTAAATGCCAAAGAATTGAATATTGCAGGAAAATTTTAAGAAAATAGTTTTAGAAGAAGTAAGATAAAATAATGCAAGTATTATATTAGATGGATTGATACACTAAAAGCATATCAAACCAAAAAAACATTAACATGATATACCTGAAAACAAGCAATAATCAAGTGAGATGCATGAATTCCCTAACCTAACAGTTCATGATTGTTTAGAAGTTCACACACACACACACACACACATATATATATATAGATAAATAGATTTGGATATATAGATATATAAGACACACAAATAAATACATACAACAGTCAATGAAGTAACTTCGTAAGCACAAGTTACTTACACTTTCAAAGAACACATGTCAATCATAAAAATGACTAAGTAAAGTGCACAAAAGTTCAATAATGTAAACAATCATAGGCAGCTAGACTAACCTGTGAGTAACAAAAACAACAGGTCTATCCCCAATCCCTGCAGCAACAAGCTTCTCCAATAGCATAGAACTAACCTCCTGCAAATTTCAAAATAAACAAGTATATCAACTACACAACAAAGAGGCCTGGCAGTAGGTAGTGAAAGGAAAGTGGTATGGATGCGAGAGAAATTGTCAACTGCAATCATATGCAGGGAGGAATTTAAGTATTTGATTGTAGATCTATAACTGTATAGTTTTAGAGAATTTTAAGAGCTGGGATACGTGCCCCTAATAGGCAAACCAGAAACATGAAAATATCAAACTAATAATGAAGAAACAAAAGGATATAGAAAGAAAGAAACGTTCTCACAACTGCTTCACTTAAATCCAGTAAATTGTTTAGATCTTCATCCATAAAATCAGTCTCACTTAGTAACAGTTCATTTAAGCGCAGCTTTTTTTGACAGTCATTTAAGCACAGGTTAAATGTCAATGTGATGTCTAGATTTATATTTTCATAAAATGGTAACAATACTGATCATACAATCTTTGTAATGGTGCTTCAGCCCCAGACACGAAGATTTGAAAATTGCAATTTGCAAGTTTGTATGGTAATGCAGGTCGAGAATGACTGTAGCATTAAAAGTTGATAAATTTCTTTAACCTTAACGAGGCTCATAGAGTATGAAGAACCCCAAATCTGTTTTTATAAATTCAAGTATTAGCAACCTCCCAGATGACTAAGAAGCAGAGCATGGTAGAGAAATAAAAGCTAATGCTGTTTCTACATAATAAATAATGAGGTGTTTTAAAATTGCAACCTGAAGAGGCAAGCTAGCTCCCGACCACTGTGTGAGATTAGTCTGCATAAAGCATTTACCTAAAGAGTTAGATGGAGGTAAAGGGAACCACGCATGAAACAAACTCTAGAAAAGGTGATAGAACTAACATCACAAAAAGAATGCAATTCATATCCCAAACATCTCATCTTACTAAGGCTAATATGCCCCAACTTTACTAAGGCAAACCTTGTATTTTAGGGTAAACAACCGAGCCTCAGGAAAATCACTGGAAAGCCATTCACCAGGCCAAAAGGTTCCAAGCTTTCCTGCTCCCTCGTCAACCTTCTCGACCAAATGTGAAGAAGTTGAGGATTTTTCCTCGGCTATACGCCAAGTTTTGTAAGGCCCACCACGGAGCCCATGGACAAAAACTATGTCTAGTGGAGGCAAATTTCTATCTGGGTTGATTTTAGTTGAATCATTAGAAATAGAGCAGTTGCTGTTATTCAAGGACTCTGTTCCATTGTCAGTATCAGCAGAAGGAGCCAGAGATATCATTCTTGAGAATGGTTCTTGTTGACCTGTTTCTTTGGGACATTTCCAGTGGGGAAGATGAGAATTTATCAAGAATATCATGTCATCATAACGAGGACATGCATTCCTATAACTTTTTACACCACCGTTAGAAGGACCTCCACTTCCACTCCTTCCATTAGGCTGGTCATTGCAAAACACATTTAAAAGTGCTGCCCTGGCATAGCTTTGAATTTTAAGATCATTGCAACCTGGAATTCGCCCATTAGCACAATCATCAAGCCATTTGCACCATGTTTCATCAGCTGTGATGACCTTCTTGACTTTGGGAAGCAGTGAGAGGATGGTCAACAACCGAGCTGCATGCTTGCGGATATGAGCAGTGGGTGGAACTCGGACACTAGCTGAATTATATACATCTGATGCAGGTGGTTTGCCATCTACATTTGATATCCGCTCCTTCCCCTCATGTGCTCTAGATGATGCATCATAAGCCTCAATAGCAGCCAGTTTCTCATAATCATCACTCAACATAAAGCGCCTCAGCAAACATAAAATCCCAAAATCAACTATCATGTCCTGACAATCAGAATCTTCAGCACAAACTTCAGTCAGAGCTTTAATTCCTTTCAGCGTTGCCACAGCAGAATCTGCAGCATCTAATTTAGGCAAATTATCTTTTTTTAAATTTTTAAATGGTCCAGCTAAAGGTTCCAGAGACAGAAAATCTGCCAGTGGGGATGCATCCCCAGAATTAGATGCAACTCCCATTCTTTTAGCTGCCAGATTAACAACAGCAGTGGATAGTTGACTGGCAACTTGTGCAGCAGAAGCAATATTCGCATTATTGATTAATGTCTGCAAAAGGTTAACACGGCTAAAATGTGCATCAAAAGCAGACTTGGAATTGAAGTAGCACTGTCAGATATAGTGAAAGGTCATTTAGATAGAATGAGAAAAAATATTTGCATACCTTTACATTATCACTTTTTGGTTGATTGGTTCCATTATCATTTGATTTCTTGATAGAACTATGCACTTCAGATAGCATCACGGCTAACCATCCTTGAGAAAGTGGTACAGATGTTGGACCGTAGTCTTCCATGATCTGAGAAAGAATCTTTATGGCTGAAGATCGTATAGTATCAGAGGAAAATGTTCCAAAAACCCAAGGTACAAGAATGCCTGACCATTTTTGACCCTCTTCAAGCGACAAGTGCAGCTCTCCAGTACAAAGTAGCTCTAATGCCTTTGCCATTGCTTCTTGAACCTGCTTATGTTTTGTCATCTGCTTGGCGATTTCTCTCATTGGGTTAAGACCATTCTCCATCAGTATATTCTGCACTGCAGGGCTCCTCTCAACAGACAAGAGAAGGGCAGATAAAGCTATATTAGCCAGAGAAACATCTTCATGCTTGGATGCCTGAGATATAGTAGAAAGAATACTCGAAGCCCATTCAGAAATAGATTCATTCAAAGGTGCATTGCGATCTTCTAATAGCAACCGCACCACCAAACTTGCATGCCATTTTACAGATCTCTCGGGTGCCATTAAAGCAGCCATGACTGCCTGTCCATCTCGATCCAGTTCTTGAATACGAGTTCTATTTGATTCCGATGCTGTTGCCCAATTTGCTAATGCCCATGTGGCAAAAGGAACAGCAACATGTTCACAGTGCAAATCATCCCAGAGACCAGGAACAACAGAAGAGGATACATTATTTTGTTGCCGAGAATTGTCGTACTTATTTTGAAATTTGATAGTTTTAGAAGTTTGATGCTTCAATTCTTCACTATATGAATCACTGCTGGTCCTTGAAAGCCCTAAAACAGGGGTACCTTCAAGTATCTTGATCCCAATCCCTTTGCTTCCGGTCCCACCATCATCATCTTCACCTTCAGGTGGCTCATCCAAGTGCAAACCCCCTTCCTCAATTACTTGTAGGGCAGCAGCAATGTCTCTAGTTTCAGCCTTTCCAGGCAATGATGGATTAAAAGACACGTCTTGTGTATTGTCACAGCTGGACGTAACGATATCCATAATGGCAGCCACAAGCATGCTCCTGCCTTTCAAAGAATCAGAAATATCAAATGCACTACGTCTTGAATGCTGCTGCCACAAAAATTTGCATAATGTCACCAATGCCAGAATCAGAAAAAGACACTATCGTCAACATCTTCAGTGAAGCTTGCATTTATATAATAGATCTAGCTGTGCATGAAAAATAGTTCAAAAGACATCTCCAAGGATTACATATAACTTCTCAGTCTTCTTACAAAATATCCTCAATGAATAAATAAATAAACTAAATGTAAATTGAGAAGTACAACATTTAATACATTCGCAACCGAAATACGTGATACTATTCATTTAATCTTTCATCACATTTAAAAGATTAAACCCTATTTATGAGACAAGAGGCTGTATAATCAAGCACACTAGGAATAAAGTCCAATTGATTGTTCAGTTTGCAAATGCGAATGAAAAAAAGACGAGCACACCAACTAACATAGAAAAACCAATTCACAAAAGGAATAGTTTACCTTCTTATTCTTAGAACGCCGAGGCTGACACGAAAAGATGAACCTCAGAAGATTCGGAACCGCGTGAGGTCTCCCAAGCACCGCCGCAGACACGTTAGGGTCCGCAATCAGATAAGCAAGCGCCCTCGCGGACTCCCCCTGAGTGCCGCCGCCTCCGCCGCCTTCTTTTGTCACGGCCTCCAGCAGCCAGTCCACGACAGCGCCGCCACCTGCCCCGACGATCGCAGCCCTACGGCCGGAGTTCGCAGCAGCGATATCGGCGAGCAAGGCCGCGACGCGAATCTCGAATCCGGAGCGCACCTCATGGTTTGCCGACGACAGCACCGAGCACAGAGAGTGCCAGAGGACCGCAGCCGCGACGCCCGTGCGCCTGGCGTGGTGGAAAATACGGTCGAAGGAGTCCGCCGCCTTGCGCGTGGCGTTCTCGGCTCTCGCGTAGAGAGGATTTGGTTCTCCGCTGCGATCGGATTCGTGGCGGACGTAGTCGTAGTTGAGGAAGGCGGCGGAGGTGAGAATGGCGGCGGCGGAGAGCGCGAGGACGTGAGCCCGAGAGGAAGATTGCGGAGCGATAGGAGAGAGGTTGTGGCTGTGAGCGAGGATTGGTGCAATTTGAGAATACTCTACGCTTTTCTTTGTTGAATTGCAAGTTTTTGTCGAAGAAGAAATTGTTCGAGGAAGATGATGGCGAAAAAGTGGTAGCGTTCTGTTAAGGATTCGAAACATTTTATTTTAATTTTTTTTATTATTTTTGGTTTTGCTGTATTGCGAAGAGAAGGGATGAGAAAGAGAAGACTCGAAGATGATTTAGAAAATGGAAGCGGCGAGTATGGCGGGAGCATATCTTGCACTTCTTCGTAAATAAATGGTACATGGATGATATTCAATTTTCTATATCAAGAAATTTTCTTACACGAATATGCTTTCGAATGATTTCGATTTTCTCTCTCTGTCCAGGTAGACATGATAGAGATTAGGCAATTGCTTCCTGCACTCCTCAATTTCTATCTCTACCCTCGTCCATTTTCACTTGCACCCCTCACTCTTTATAATTCTATTTTTATCCTTTCTATTTTTTTCATTTGTAACTTAGGTTACATACATACATACATACATATATATATATATATATATAACATTCTTTGAATTACTTTTTGGATTTTTTTTTTCAAATTATACATATACACAGATAGACAAAAGAGCGTTAATTAAGAATTATGATATAGATTAATATTTTTTTTAAACTTGATGAATTATAAAACGTGATGCGTTAATTGAAAGATTGAATGATTTTCTATCATGTGATGACTTTTCCTTATTCTATTTAGGTTTAAATCCTCTTTTGGTTCTCATATATTTGTAAAATTGAGTCAATTTTGTCCCTTCCGTTAAGTTTTGATAAACAGCGTTAAGAGATGTTGAGCTGTCATTTTTCTAAAATGGTGTGACATTGCGTATTAAATTGAATGGATTATGTGTTAATTCCACATCAGAAATTTCCATTCACAAAAAAAATATTCTCCCACCCATTAACTTCGTCTTCTCCATAAAAACCCTAGTCGTCGTTAGCCATGCCCGCCACCATCCTCGCCAAAACCACCACCGTGCTACATAACCACCGTTAAGCCACAACCTTCCACTGTCAACCTCGTCGGATCCACATCTTCTTTTGACCAAACCAAAAAAAAAGATGACATTTTTTCTTGCACCTCCTTCCATTGTGTATTCAATCATTCCATATTAAGTTCGAGAATATAAATACTTTCACCAGGATGAAGAATTCGTAAAATCCAGAGTAATCCACATCCAAACAATAAGATGTGATCTGTTTGTTGGCTATATTCTGCACAGCTGAAACCTCTCTTCTACCTTCGTTAAACGAAATCATAATGGGCATGTTCAACCTCGCTTCATCTTCACCCAACGACCTGAACAATAGCAGAAGCAAAATAAACTCCATTAGCGACTTTCAATGAGGGAAAAGGGGGTTCCTTGTTTGTAGCACAATTTGGGTTGGGGAAAGGGTGCATTTGCAGTGCTGATTTGGGGCCATGGAAATTGAGACGGTGCTTGGACTGTGGAGTCTTCATCTGTGTGGGGTAGTTTTGTTTGGAATAAAGGGTTGGAGCCATAGTGGAAAATTTGATTGTGAGAAATAAAGATTGAACTGAGAAGAAAGAATTGAGAAGAAAAAGAAATTGGCGCTGGAGACAAATAAAGATAAAACACATAACCCATTAATTTAATACATAATACCACACCATTTTAAAAAAAATACAACTCAGCATCTCTTAACGCCGTTTGTCAAAAAACTTAACGGAGGGGACAAAATTGGCTTAATTTTACAAGTATATGAACGCAATTTTGACAGTTTAAAAAGCAATGACCCACTTGAGATTCACCAACAAATATGAGGACCAAAAGAGGGTTTAAACCTTCTATTTATATATATAACATTAGCCTTATTCAATATATTATTTTTCTTCAAATACACAATCCTTTAAATTTGTAAATAGTAATGATTTTCTTTACATATTTTTAGAAAAGTTGTTTTTATAAAGTATATTATATCGATTGTAACGAAAATCGATCTAATATTTATATATTAAATCGGTTAATATAATATATTTAATATATATATTAGATCAGTTGATAGAATAACTAAACTTAATTTTTTTAAAAAAAGAACAAAAATCTTGGTTGACTTATTAGAGGGTAAGAACCAGTCTAATAGGAACATATTAGATCTAATATAGTCTATTTTCAAAGCTAGCATGAAATTCTATTTTTTTATTATTTGTATTTCCTCTCACATTAGTGTCACCTCTCATCATGAATCCTCTTTACTGTTTCCTGTCATCGTCCTCGTTTCATTTTTGGTGAGCTTCAACCATTAATAGTATAAAAGTAAAAATCTTTTTAACTTAAAAATATAATTATATTTAAAATAATGTAAGGAGGTGGAAGAAGTATAGGGTGGTGGTCCATTGTAATTTATATCACGTTATGGTTTTGTGCTGTTTGGGCTCAGCCCACGTTTTTTTCCCTTCATTTGATGCATCGAGCCTTATTAGAAAAAAACTGATTTTAATTAAATATGAAGTATCTTATTTTCCAGCATAGAGAAAACCGGTCAAATATCTTGGTCTGTTATACATTTTACAAGTAGCAAAGATGGATAGTGATTATAAATATTAATTACAGTAAAATAAAATATTTAAAAAGGAGATATAGCTTTATTAGGGAATTAGAAAAAGAAACTGCTGAAAAAGAAGCTAGGATTAAATGTGACATTTTATGACTTTATGAAAATTTGCGGATACAAGTTCTGATAACTTAGGATTTCATTAAAAAAGTTTTAATAACTTAGTAAACTCAAATTACCCAATGATTGCTTCAATCTTTCGATAAAATTAATAATTTTTCATCAAAACAAAATCCTAATTATGATAATAAAAACCATTGTATAAACTTCAATTAAATATTTGAAAACTATGAAAATATTTTTTATAGTTTAATTAAAAACTATAATATGAAATGTTAATAAATAAATAATTAATTGGTTGTGACATCTTGTTTCGGAATGTTAAGATATTAAACATTTCTAAAAACTTAATAAAAATTTCAGTTAATAATAAAATGATAATATTAATTGCAAGTATTTCATAATTAACATTAATAAAGTAATTACTAGGGTAAATGATTTTTCTATATGCAAATATTGTATTTTGTATAAGTAAAGGTTTTAGAAGTATTAAAACACTTTGTGATAAAAAGCTCGGAGTTAAGATAGGAGAAGCTGGTTAATTATATAATTTGATATGTGTTTGACGAATTGATTCTCACATAAAATTATCTTTTTTTTTGTAATTTACTAAAGTGTATAATGGTATTTTGTATTTAAATGATGATAACTAGTGTTTTAGTTGAATTGAAATTGGTTATACGTAGAAGTGGTTAGTTATAGTAAAATTGTTCAATTTGATTAATTATTGAGAAGAGAAATATGATGTATATGAATAAATGATGTTAAAATCCTTTAATATATATATATATATATATAATATGTGTGCTTGCGTGTGCATGTCTGTGTTTGTGTATGTATATGTGTTCGTGTGTGATTGTATTTGTGTGTGTGTCGCGTGTTTGTGTGTGTACTTTATCTTTACTTTCCTTGTCTTTTCTGTAGATGTGTAAAGGATCTATTCATCCTTTTAAAGCTTTATTTAGAAATTATAGTTGAAAACAAAACAAATTTGTTTGATGAGAAATATATTTATTTTAGAGTAAGTTTTTCTTTACCTCTTTTTTCTTGAGTTGATTTTAAGAGGTTTTTCATAGATGGAGACTAAGGACCTTACATGTGGTCCTTATAGAAAAAAAAGAATTTTTGTTGATCCAATACCAAAAGAATATTTTTTGTTTGTGTATTATTAATTAATTTTGATAATAATGTATGAGAAGATATGAAGTAACATGAAAGTCATTTAAGTATAAATAGACTCATCAGATATAAAAAACAAATATATTTTTTTACATTATATAGATATAATATGATTTCTTATAGAGAGAGAAGTTTATTTTATTTTAAAATATTGTTAATATTATACAAATATTTATTTATCTTATATTAAGTAATAATAATGTAATTATGGAAAAGTTATAGCCATCATTGAATTCCTTGAGGGAGACAACCAAATGAGGGGGTTAAAAAAAGTTTTAGCCCAAAACTTCCTCTTAATGAGTTTAACCTAACTACAAGACTTTAATTAACTCTTATAAATAATACTTTTATTTAGGTTAAAGATTGAGACAAAGTGAGGTCGAAGGTCGAAACAGGTCATTTCGGACTGAGATTAGAGACAAGCAGTCTCAGCCCAAAAGTCGAGACTAATGTTCCAGATCAAAGGTCGTGATATGCCATTTTGAACAAAGAGGTAGAGACAAAACAACCTGAGCCGAAGGTTGAAATGAGTCATCTAGGTAAAAGGTCGAAATTAATCATGAGAACTAAAGTCAAGATAGATCGTCCTAGGCATAAAGGTAGAGACAAAATGACCTAAGCCGAAGGTTGAAATGAGTCATCTAGGTCAAAGGTCAAGACTAATCACGAGGACTAAAGTCAAGATAGATCGTCCTGGGCATAAGGTCGAGAAGGGTCGTTCTATGCCGAAAGTTGAGACAGGCTGACCAAAGATGAAGGTTGAGACCAGCCATTTTGGGCCGAAGTTTGAGACGAATCATCTAGTGTCGAAAGTCGAGATGATCCAAATATGAAATGGATCAGGTCGAAGTTCAACACAGGTCGAAGCTTGAGACCATTTGTCTCGAGCCGAAGGCGAAAACGTGTCATCAAGGATCGAAGGTAGAGATAATCCCTCCCAGACAAAAGGTCAAAACAGAAGGTCCTAGGTCCAAGGTCCAAACGGATTCTGAAGACTAAGACGGGTTGACCCAAACCGAAGGTCGAGACGGGTCGTTTTAGGTCAAAATTTGAGGCTGATTAACTCAAGCTGAATATAAAAATAAACCAATCTAACTTGAAGATCAAGACATGTCAACTCAGATTAAAAGTTAAAATGAATCATCATAAACTAAAACTCGAGATGATTCAACCCAAATCCAAACGAACTATCTCAAACTAAAAGTTAAGATAAGTAAGCCTTGACCTTGACTATGTTTTCAAAATAAAGGTAAAAACAGCATACCAATCTATCTAGAACAAATATCAAGATTAGTTAACTAGGTTGAAGCTAAAAGTACAATTTATACCTTGCAACTTTTTCTTCTTCTTCATTTTATCTCTTATAACATTTTATCTCTTATAACATTTTATCTCTTATAACTCATAAATGCAGGTATAAGAAAGAGAAAACAACGTGTGTATATATATATATATATATAATTTATTA